GCTTGGGAGATCCACGATGCAATGAAGCGAACAAAACTAGCTAGTATTCCTTTGTCAGTTGACTCAACATGCTGCAGCATTTTCACGCTAAATTGGCGAGGTCTGATGTGAATTCAGTTCTGCACAAGGGAAGCCAACGTAACACGGTTCAATCTCGGATTTCTTGCCCCACTCCCCCCTTCTATAATGAACAAATTAAAACTAATACGATAAGGAACTAGAACAGCCGCAATTGAAAATATTGTCCGCAGACTATTGAGCCGAAGAATTTCGAACGTTTTCCTGTTTTTTTTGATAAAGTAGAAGAGAACGCATGCCGCATTCCAAGAAGAGATTGCCAGCAGCGGAAGCTCAATCCTTTTATGCCATCATAACTGGAAAAAACATACCTTCTCCTTCTGGTGGAGGGACGTCAACATCGTTTCCAGCAAAGTCACCAAAATCGTCGTCGAAATCGTCTTGATCGAGGATATCAACACATGCTGACGTATCTTCCTCCTTATCGCCAATGGACTCTGAAGGAGTTGCCATGTCGTCTGAAAATCCAACTTTTTGTGTAGTGAATATAAAGAAAATTGACTTTTTGCAAACGCACCTTCACCATCAGCTAGTCCATTTTCGCAATGATCAGGACTCTGCGCAGCCACAGGAAAACTTTCTGCTATCCTCAAATCCGGAGGTTTTTGTTTGACAGGGCTGGAGACGGGAGAGGACGCTGTACTGGAAGTGCAAGGCAGATCCTGAGGGATCTCGAGCTCCCGTAAACTGTCATCTTCGTCATCAACAGTTAACCGAGCATCACACTCCGAATCAGGAGGCTCCTCCAACGCTCCAACGAATGGTGGTGGAGCCTCGAAGTCCATCTGAAAGAAGGTGAGGTGAGCGAGATTCCTAGAGATCAGTAGTCACAGTTACATATAATTCGAATAAAAACAAGCGATCAATTCGTGGAGAGGCTCTAGGAAGACTATGAAAAAAAGAAGTAAAAAAAATGGTAGCATTCCTGCAAGCGAAGGCGCTAATCCAATAAGCTGTGGCATTTCGGCGCAGAGCAGCCAAGGATTGTGAAAGCGCGATAACAGGCGCCACGGACGAGGATTTTTGCCTAAGCGTAGGGTTCAGGAGCTCCAGTATGGGAACACGGCTAGACTCCGCACCCGACTGAAACCCCCGTTGAGAGATATCCTGAGACGTTTTGGTGTAAGTGGTCGTCGGAATACGATAGTCGCAATTTTGCACAAGGAGTTTATTGAGGCTGCAAGTGGTACGAGTTTCGATTCCACGCTATCTTTTCTACATTGGATGGCACTAATGTCAGAAGACGTGAAAAGGAGGCCTTCGCCTAAGCGCGATGGAAGGAGATCCGGGGGCTGGTAAATCAGTTCCTTGATGAGAAAAATTGTTTCAGTGACCTTGAGTGCTCTGCTCCAAAACCCTGGGCGCCCTACCTTGGTAAAATGACCCTCACTTCACTTTGAACAGTATTTGGATAAAAACTATCCAAATACTGTTCAAAGTGAAAAATGGATAAAAACTAAACTAAGAATTATGTAACTGGATTGATAAAGTAAGATTTATGACGACCTATCCCTCAGTGATCCAATAATTCCAGTGTTTCTGCAACATCTGGGAACAGGGAACGTCCTGTCGCCTGGGAAGACTTTCGCAAAAAATACGAGCCCATCCAATATCCCCATCCTACCTACCATTTCACCAACTTACCAATTTCGTAAGCCTTTTCTAAAAATTTTACAGCTTTTACCCTAATTTTCGTCGTCAGCTGGAGAGGGGTTGGCAGCCGTCAAACAAACCCTAATTTCAACTATCGAATATAGTGGTTGGTATGACAGTTCGCTTCTGTGGCGCCGCAAATACGACCCCTCCCCCCATAGCGAGGGGTTTCCTAACGATGTGGACAGCGTGCGTGGAACAGAAAATAACAACTATCAAAGAAATTTACGTCAAGTGCGATTTTTCCTACTTCAGCGACCAAATACGACCCCCACGGATGGGGAACCTAATAAATTGTCCTGTGTGGAAGTGCCCTGGAAGATAACGTTCGCATTGCTGTATAGGGGGGGGCATAAAAGGGAAGACACATTGTGACTTAGAAGAATCTATGTTCAATACCAAAAGAAGCATAACAACAACGATGAATAGGTGATTCAAAGTAAGGAAAGCATTTAGAAACGCCAGTGGAACGAGCTGATAAGAGTTCTCATTCGATCGAAATAAATCTTTGGAAAAACCCCAAGCCAACATTTCTGGGTTTCAAGGAGTGCAGAACGCCAGGACTACATGGAAAAAGTCTCCCGAATGACTTAAACAACTGCGCCTACATAAATGAGATATGATATCGCTTGTCTTGGGTGTTGGCTCAATGGCGCGCACCTCCCAGAACTCCCTTGACAACGACCACCACGGGCCGCCCCGCCCATTTCGCAAACGCTGCTTTCGTTTTCACAGGGGGGCAGAAGCTCGCCAGCTCAATATCGCCTCCGGCCCAGCTGCTTATTCGCCACTATTTTTATCGCCTCCGGCCCCAGTCCTGCTTAATCGCCGCCTATTTTTCATCCTCAGAAATTCTTCTCTGCTAACTGTTATTGTCTCTGTTCGTAACGCTATCTACTTGCTTTTACTGTCATAGACTCTGAGCAGGCGTAGCCGATACAACGAGGGGCACGTATGCAAAAAGATTCTTAGAACTTCATTTTGAAAATTCTTATTCCAGAGGCGCTCTTATAAAGAACTGTGTGTCTTTGAGCACTATCTATTTTATGGAATGCTAGCGCGGAAGCTGTTACATTTTCACAATACCTCAGACTGACTACGTGAACTACTGTTTACTGAACTTGAGCGATCAAACCCGAGATAGTTGGGTGCGATCTTGCGCTTCGCTTGGAAAAAGGGGCGCCAGTTTGCCACAGGCTGGTTTCACGCTTTACTTGGTCCGGGTGAAACCTGTGAACTCTTGTGAAGCTGGGGCAAGCTCGTCGAGACAGGATTTTGTTGCTTTACAAGAGTTGACAGGTAATTTTTAGAAGGGTTTAGTGGTTTTCCCTACAGACTTTGGCTGTTACCATTTCTTTATCTTAGTAAGATGGAGATATGTGAAAATTTCGTGGACAAGACTTCACGAGATTTCACATATCTCCACCAGATTTCTCGACACGTCGATGGGAAGCAGCAAAAGTGCAGAATCCCTCTCCCCCCCCCCCTCGAACCTCACCGCCAAAAAAGAAAAATTGCCATTTTAATACTGCAAAGGATAGCACAGACCTTGTTGCATGGCAGTCCGGCTTCATTAAAAGTGGTTCGGCGTCCAAACACAGTTGAGCCCTCCTATTTTGGTTTGATTCTAATGATTATAAAAGTGCAGCATTACGAAAAGACAATGGCAATTAAAATGTGGACGTGTTCATGTGCTATTTCAACACCTTCAATATGTCCCTATCGCTCTGCTTGAAAGTAAAAGAAATCTGCTTTTGGGCATCATTTCGGCCCGCTAATTTATGGCACTTGTTAGGAGGGACCACATTATCCAATGTACGCTCGCCAGATATATGACCACTGCTGATTCTTACCCAATTTAACTTTTCGGCTTTGAGCTCACTCTCTGAGTACCGGGTATCGTGTGAAAAGTCAGTCAATGGGCTCGCCGTCACTCAATTTTTTTCAGATTTCGATGTCTAGGCAAGCCGTAGTTCATCTGTTCTCTCTGCCGCTCTGCACTTCACGCCAGGACCCACCAGAATCTAGTTGTCGCGTAACCGTTTAGGAGACAGACATGTTGACCAAATCATCTTATTTTGGAATATGTCACGTCTCGGAAATAGTGGTGTGCAGATATGTGCTAGCGCCGGCGTGCGGATACTCCTTCCTGAGGCATTTCAGCGCAATAATTTCTATTTCGGACCGTGAAATAAACCACTCGTTTGGAAAAATGCTACTATGAGTAAGTTCCTATTTAGCCACCTTGTACGTTTTTTGGCGAAAATCTATGCGCAAAATTTACTTCCCCATTGTTAGATGTGGACTCCGCTCAAATGCATTTTCCCCATTTTACAAGCGTAAATAGTTGCTAAAGGAGTGTTTTGAGAGGGCGGAATTTAGTAATAGAATGGGCTAATGGAAAAAGTGAGCACGAAGCTACACCCCAAGTTATACGAGAGCTGGACTAGGCCGGGGCTGTAACGTACCTTTCATTTGAAGATAGCGTAATATGCATTCATCGTCGTAAATTTCCATCTTCAGACAGCTTCCATTCCATTTATGCTTGTTAAAGACATGATTACATTTGTCTCGGAACGGAAAGATCCTACGAATAAGGGTAAGCGCCGCGCGTTCGAGTGAAGCGCGCAGCCACGCCCATCCCAGTTCTAGGATATGGCGTGAACGTAAAACCGATTTCCAGCTGATCCTCCCCGTTTTGCTTTCTCCTAGATGATGTAAGCGGCTGTATAGCGATGCGAATGGTCAAACAAAAAAAAGTAAAAAATCAATTCTAGGAAGATATAATTCATTTTTATGAAACACGTGTTCATAATACCGCAATCCCATCTCTTGCACAATGAGTTCTTTTTGAAAGCGGACCAATATGCTACGAACTTAGTGTTTCGGGCGATTTCCCCTTAGTTATTCCAAACTGGACAGTGTGCCAGTTGGGGGAGACGGGCAAGAGGAATCGCGCATTGGCCGCTCTGTCGCGCGGTCAGATTGCGCCGACTTTTCTTAACTGTGGGTGTCAACCCGAGTTGCGAGCACCGGACAAGCAAAACCCGTAATCGTAGACATTCATGACTATTTTTGGTTCTGAATTGCCTGCGGTCGCCAATTACTACCTGGAACCATCGTCATTTGCGGGCGCGACGCCGCACGCGGACGCCCACCCAGAGCGGCTGTATACGCATCTCTTGTCCATACCCGCCCTCCGTTTAATACGGACAACGCGCTCTGTGTAAAACAGGAAAAGTTAACAGTCTCATGCTTCATGAAAAAATTTCCTTCGAGTCACTCCGTACAGCTGTGAAATATTAATCCAGCTCGTTGCTTACCACTATGATGGTCTTGTGCCATGTAGTCTCAGCCAAACGAGAAGCGGCGAGAGAGGGATTCTTGCTGATTCCTAATAGGTCGGACCTTATGTGAAACACTGAAACCATGCTACTTACCTTAGTAAGAATAACTTCTTATTTTATGAGGGGGGGACCACCAGTCTCCTGAAAAAGCGATTGAGCTAAGGAAGGGGGCAGGGGCAGGGGAGGTTCAGTTCGAAAGCGCGCACCGTTGACTTTTTTCAAATGGGTCGCGTTAGGCTCACAACCTCTTCTACTTACCAGCGCTAAATTCCGAACGCAAGTAAAACACAAAATCAACAAAAAAAACATAATAAAAAGCAAAACGTTATAGAAAATAGAATAAAACACACGGAAATATTTCCAGAAAACAACAAAGAACTGGTGTGGAAGTCAAGTTCTTACCATTTCGTAGCTTTACAAAAGTTCACAGGTTTTCACAAAAAGGCTCGGCGCGATAGCAGGAATTCGAATAATGCCCCTTCTTACCCAACCTCCGCGGTTTTTTGAAGAAAGGGGTCATCATTGACCGAAGCTTCCATTGAGCTCCGTTTTGGAAAACGGCTGATGAACCAACTTGAGAACTAACAAAACTAAAGAATGATCATGACTTATTCTACAGAAATGCTATTTAAAAAAAACACCTTTCAACAAAAATCAATAACTTACATTTTTCCCAACAATTCAGCGAACACCTTTCGTTAAAAACAACGCATAGAACGTAAACAGAGAAAAAAATGATAAAAAGAGACTCTCAAAAATTACACAGACATCAAATTAGAGCGGTC